CCAGTCTGGGCGACAGGGGGAGACCCCAACCCAAAAAAAAAAAAAAAAAAACATGGATTAAGGTGCTTCCTTTCGACTGGGTTCAGTGGCTCACGCTAATCCCAGCACTTTGGGAGGTGGAGGCAAGAAGATTGCCTGAGCCCATGGGTTCAAGAGCAGCCTGGGCAACTTGGCGAGTATTTATCTCTACAATATATAAAAAAATTAACTGGGCGTGGTGGCATGCACCTGCAGTTCCAGTTACGTGGAAGGCCAAGGCGGAAGGATTGCCTGAGCCCAGCAGGTGGAGGCTGCAGTGACCGTGAGCATGCCGCTGCACTCCAGCCTGGGTAACAGAGTGAGACTCCAACTCAAAAAAAAATTGTTTTTTTTTTTTATGTGTTTAAATGAGGTGAACCCAGAGAGCACTTTCCACGTGAAATGAAGTAATCCTAGTTATGATGTGATTACTGTAATGTCATGCCTGACAGTTCACACATATATGATTTTTTTGATTCTATTAAAAAGAAGCCAGGCACAGTAGCTCATGCCTGTAATCCCAGCACTTTGGGAGGCGGAGGCGAGAGGATTACCTAAACTCAGGAGTTCGAGACCAGCCTGAGCAACTTGGTGAGACCTCGTCTCTACAATAAATCAAAAAATTAGCCAGGCATGGTTGCTTGAGCTCGTAGTCCAGCTACTTGGAAGGCTGAGGCAGAAAGATCACCGGAGCCCAGCAGGTCAAGGAAAGCTGCAGTGGCCATGAGTGTGCCACTGCACTGCAGCTTGGGTGACAATAAGACTCTGACTCAAAAAAAAAAGACAAACACAACGACCTTTCACCTGTTCTGAAATACATTTTTCCTATTTCAAATTTTAACCTATTTTAAAAAGATTTACAACTGCAGACTTTTCATTCCAAAGCATCGTTTGTCTGGAAAGTACAGGTCACTACCTTAAGGAAAACACGCTAAGGGGCCTTTGCAAAACTGAGGGTCCTGGAGCAGAAAGACAAAGTGAGAATGGGGGTTTCTCTGCAGGACAAAGGTGGTGTTGGGAGCGTTAGGGATCCAGGCAGGCTGTAGACCCTGAGACCGCTAGGACAAGTTCAGGAGCTGAAGGCCCACTGCCTCTTCCCTTCTTTGCTGTTTTGGCACGTTCCACTAGCAGGGACTTTGATGATCTAAGCATGAAGCATGGCTTACTTTAGGAGTCCATCGTTCCCGTTTCTCACAGACTGCGGTTTCAGCTTTAAACTTAACATAATCCAAACTCAGGTCACATTTGGGAGCCTTTAATACGGTACAAGTTTCTTTTTTTTTTTTGAGTTGGAGTCTCACTCTGTCACCCAGACTGGAGTGCAGT